CAGCGCTCGCGGCTCTGGCGCTGCGCACTCAACACTTTTTCCTGACATACTCACACACATATAAAGTAGCCGTTCTGGCGCAGTGATAAGCAAGAGGGCAACATCCGTCCGAAAAAAGCCCACCAGTTCATTCTCCGAAGCTTTAGTCTGAGGAGAATGAACTGGTGGGCTTTTTTCGGACGGATGTTGCCCTCTTGCTTATCACTGCGCCAGAACCGCTACTTTATATGTGTGTCTCATTGATATTGACAGCTCACCAGCAGTCCTATGCTCCATCTTTTTGTGCTGTTACGTTAAGCGCATCTGACGTAATCTTCTACAAAATCACGAAAATAACCAACACAGTTAGCTGGCAATCCATAGCTCCTGAGCGTTGCTAAGAAATGGCTCTTCCGGGCCAAAAACTACGCGCCGATTGGACCAGACCTGACAAGGGAAAAGTGGAAATCGAAGTATTCAGCAAATTCGTTTTCCAGTTCAAATTGAAATATTAGTTGAATACCAAACAGAAGTCTGGACTAAAACTCATGAGCAAGTATTATATAGGCCAGGTTTAGAGACATTCTACCCTCCCCTCCCAGGACCTTCTAGACAGCAGCTCTGGAGTCAAGAATAGGCATCTCCAGATGAATGTTTTATTTATTAACTGTAATGAACCAATCCGATCGAGGATATCGGCTATATTTGGATCGTTTTCTCACCGCTGGAATTACTCGTGCGAATTACTGTTTATATAAACAGATAAAGAACACAATCATCGAGAGACAATATCTAACAGCAAGGATAAACCTTTGTGGTGATGGCAGGCCTTGTAAAAGCAAAGAAGTTTCTTTGGAAAGACACAAACTTGGAATTTTTCGGAAGTGACACTGAAAAACGAGTAAGTACTGAGAGTAGGATAGTTTTGAAACTATACCGACGAGATGGTTTTGAATTCACCTCTGAATTTAGATTCATGCTAGTTGCAAAGCTACCGAACCCATTCGAACCATCCTCACGGACGCAGATATCCTAATTTCTGGGATTAATTAGAACGTTTTGGTACAGGGCGCCTGTACCGATTTATTTCTGCCGTTCACAGACTCAACCTGAGAAAGACGCTAGCAAGATATTTCAAACCACCTGCATGTTTTAATAACACACATGTTAATCACCAACTGATCTGTGTTTGTTCTTTGCGGGATAGAAGTTATAATTAACGGTTAGTGCTTCCCGTTGTAAATTTTTTATATGTGCCAAAAGTTGTCCGATATCTTTCGGTTTGTCAAAAAAACCATTAGTGATCGCGTGTACGGTTTTAACAACAATTAAAAATTGAAAACTGAATTAAAAGTTATCAAGACGAATTGAGAATTATTTTTGCTCTGCGTGAATATGACACAACACCTTTTTAGCTGCTTTACTTACAATTAAATTCAGAACACACGACATGTGGAAATTATACCGAAAGAACGACAGCGAAATTTGCGGACTAAAGGCGTCTAACTGTGAAGCTTCTTTGTAACAGTTTTAAACCCTCCATCGATAGGAACAGACAAATGCTGCATGATGGTACGGTTAGCAATGGTTAAAAGGATATGTTACTGATAACCTTTAGTTGATAACGAAGTGGAAGACCTAAGCGCTCCTTGATGAAGTCAATTTGCGTTGTTTATATTGATAACTATCCGGAGAACACCTTTACAGATGAACAAATAAAGTCGGTCAACTTACACGTCGGTAAAAGCGTTCTGCAGTGTTAGTACTGTAGCACAAGAATACGAAGTTATAAAAGCAAAAAACTATCATTACTAGTAACTAAGTAAACAACACAATGAAGCTACTTAAATACCCGTTTCGTTATCTAAAAAAGATATCACAAGGGTCAACACTGAACACAAAGAAACGTTTCTCCGTAAAATTTGGACTCCCAGTTTGACAAGCTTCGTACGGCCATGATACCCAGATGATCCACAATCCTTTAGTGCAAACTCGGTATATAGCTTTAACGACGACTTCATCGTTTAGTAGTAAGATAGAAAACTTCGAACTTTGCGAAAAAATAAATAGATAAATAAATAAGTAAGTAAAAAAAAGTCAAACAAAGACGGCATAACATGACCATGGAAGGTTAGCCTTCTGAATAAACTTTAAAATATTTTGAATTTACTTTGTGTCAAATGTTCGACTGTCTTGCTTCAAGCATTTTATCAGTGACCCACTCACTTTTTAAACTTTATGCATATACAATTAAGAATTTCTCTGAGGTTATAAGAGTTAAGTGGTCTTTAAACACAGATTAAAGCAGTGTGCCGGCTCGTAATCACGATTTTGAAAGGGAGAGGGGGTGCGACAGATGCCAAACTGCCAAAGTGGACTTAACTAACGAAATGTATGTATTGATTGTCTGATCGTCAGACGGAATGACAGTTTGTATCCTTATCAGTTAGGCAAAGCACTTTGAATAAATTCAGTTAACATCAACTTCCCCCAATAGATCACGTTAGCGTTTTCAAGCTTTATGAGATAGATCAATCTAACCTTTACTCATTCTAGTTAAGGAGTTGAGGAAGAACCGTAATAAAACACTTTTCTAAAATAATTGAGCTGCTTTGACTAATAAGCCCCAAGCTAAAGCAAAAGAACGCGAAATCAGTCTAGTACAATTCAGCCTGTAAAGTCTATGTTACGCTATGTGGACGGCAAGATGTGGTCTTCTTGTAAAGCTGAAAAAGTCCTAAGGACTACGAAAAAAGCGTCTAGAATTGTTCTCTTGATTTTATCTTTATATTATTTTTTTATTATATATTTGTGGTATATTTTCCTAAGCCTTTAAGAGGCACAAAATCCATCATTTTCATTCTTCTGTCCATTCATTTTTTCTATAAATCTATACACGTTCGACCAACCGACTGATTGACTGACTTACCGCGGACCGACTGTACGACTGACCGACTGGCTGAGTAACTAACAGACCAACCAACCGATTGACTGACTAACGTAGTAACGATAAAGGCAAGTACGTGGACGTGTCATCCTTATCCTTGCCTCTTCCAGGCGTTCAGTTAGTTGGGACGCAGCACGAAAAACGGCGAGAGAATAAAATGGAGAGAAGGGCTTGGTGCGCCTTACCGCGCAGCGCTTCTCTCTTATTTTATTTTTTTGCTCTCCGTTTTTTCCCTTGCACTCCAACTAACTGAGCGCCTGGAAGAAGCTATCATGATCCATATTGCCAGAAAATCACACTGACTTACTAAATTAATTTTAAAAGTACAATACATTAAAATACCATGTACCACTGAAATCCGACGGTGTTCTATTTTATATGCGCTCTCTTCGCACTTGCACTTTTCATGCCTTTTCTCTTGTTTTCTAAATTCGTGCATCTGAAAAGTAAAGAAAAAGCTCAACTGTCGGTCTCGTTTCTCTTTGTTATCAAAAAGTGTGATATAGCCTACTGAAGTCTCTGGGATCATGTTTTTGTCTTAATTGTCGCCAGAAAGACCAAGAACGAGGAGAAATGGCGCTTGTATTGGCTATAGTGAGCGACCGCTACAAGCTCTGAAAGTTAGAAGCTGCCACCAGTACCGTAGGCCACTAGGCTATATGTGTGCTTTCTGCCCTGTTTCACATTAAACATGGAAATAAAAGTTGTATTTCTTTTGCTTCGAACACAGTTTTTAAATAGCGTTCATTAGCTGTCACAGTACCGGGGATACCTTATGTGACGTGCATGGTATGTTAATGATTAACAGTAGATAGAATTACAATATTTATGTAACATCAACAAGAGCGTGCTGTCGACCAATAACTATACTTCACAAACAGCACTGGTCGCTTGGCATTTTGCTACAGTGGGAACACCTTTACTTGTGATAGTACAGTTTTCTTGGAAGTACGGGTCTGAAGTGGAGAAATGGCAGGACTTAGGAAGGCTAAAAAGTTTGACTGGAAGGACTCAAATTTGGCGCTGTTCGGTTCTGACACGGAGAAAAATGTAAGCTTTAGTTCCAAAATGGCTGCTGTTCTCCGGTGGTACGTGTATTGAGTGGTGAATTTCAGGGATAGCAGCATATAATGAACTAAAGCAGTTTGTTTAAAATAGTGCAATTAGCTGTCTCTTTCGTAAAACGTTACGGTTGGAACCTGTCGCCCGGCTAATCTAAACTGCTGTAGTTAACGCTTACAGATGCATGTATCGATATAATTTTAAACTTGACTGCTGTATCAAGCCAAAAGCCATTCGTGAATCGAAGCTGTTAAAAACATTTGATAATAAATAACGAAATATCTCGTCGCCTGAAAAGTGCTTCCTTCCATACTCCTTGATTATGTCAAGCTTACACAATTTATAACTCAGCTAGAGGCAGACGAATGAGGTGTGTTATGCATTTTACTAGTTTGATGTAATTTTGATTCCCATCGTTCGTCAGGTTAAGAAAAGTTCTGCAATGACAGAGAAAGCCTGGAAAGGGTGTGGACAGAAAGTCGGCATAAAGATCTGGAGAATTGTCAACTTTAAGGTGAGTATACATTTTATGTTAATATTCGGAATGTTTAATGATAGTACAGTTAATTTGGTAATACGGTAGTCATAAACGTACTCGTCCGTAAATTATCATAATCACAAATACAACAGCAGGACAATGCAGTAGTCATTGTAAATATTATTTGTATCTTTAAGCGGTTTCAGATAGTTTCAGTTGCCGTCCTCTACCCTGTTCTCATACCATTGTGCAATGATTATGTTAATTCTTATTATTCACTGGCGATTTTGACCTTCCGTCATGTGCAGGTTAATGAAGATTTCATTATTGGAAATGCTGAGTTTTTACCTTATATGGTGTCATATTATAAACATTCCAAATGAGCTAAATTTAGCGTAACATTTAGAAACTATGTTATGCTTGTTTTCACAGACAAAATCAAAAGCAGGCAACCAAGGAAATATATTTTGGAATAACTTTCTGCTATTGCTTGCGAAACCTGTTTTGGTGAAAGTTTTCCATATTTACTAGGTGTTCATAACGGGTCGTGTAGGGCATAATTTTCCAGTTGAGTGTCATTAAGCCATGACCAAGTAATGAGGACTCACTACTTTTTACCGATACTGACCTTGGGTGAAATGCACTGATGACCAGTCTGCCCAAGCCACTATTTAGTGGTTCTAGAAAATATCCATACCTATACCACGGGCAGCATCTCCAAAGTCTGAAGGGGGAGGGGGAGGGGTGTCCACAGACTGGAATTCAGAGGGCATGGGGAACACATTGGACTGGAATTCCAGGCGTGGGTGATTTTTCAGGTCTGGACTTCCAGAGGGGGAATACAGGTTCTCAAATCGAGCCCTTTGCTTAATTACGCAGAAGAAAGGTAAGCAAAGCACCAAAGGGCTTTATATTAATTGACTGGACGTTAGATTCCTACAAAAGCCATATTTCCCACTTGGATTCTCATCAGACTCGAAAATGGTTTTAAGTATAGAGAGACACCTACTAAAATGATTTCGTGAACAAGTTCAAACTGGATTGATATTTTTTTTTGGTGTTTTTATGAATTGTTAAATTTGGCTACTTCTTTCATGTGACACTTAAATGCCCTAGCCTCAGAGTACATTTAACGTAACAGTTTGTTGTCAGGGCCATAGACAGTATGAGGCAAACCGAGGCACTTAATTGCCTCAGTCATTTGTGTTCTTTTGTTTGTTTTGTTTCTCTTTTTTCTTGAAGAGAGAAAGTAAAATACTGCCAAATACCTAGGAAGAGAATTTCACTGTGGACATTGCCTCAGACGTAACTCTTTTCTGGCTACGGCCCTGTTTGTGATTCCTTTGCTACCTGTGTATAATATAGAATGTTGTTGCTTGTCCACATAGGTAGTAGACTGGCCTGTGGAAGATTATGGGAAATTTTTTGAAGGAGACTCGTACGTCATTCTTCACACTTACAAAAAGGATCCAAGTAGTGAGGTAAAAAAGTATTGAAAAATAAAATGTGGCATTTACATGTGTGCAACAGATCCATGAGAGTTCTGTGACTAAATTCTGTTCTTAACTGATGATCGTAACATTTTGAATTTAGTTGTGAAAGTTCATTTTCAAGTTGCTGTAAATGATTATGGATAAGCCATACTTCAGGATGGCTCCTTATGGTAATCATTTATTGTGTTGAGCACGCTATTGTTGTGTTTTGAATGCTGTGTTTGCATTCATTTTTACACCCTGTCCTCTCAAACTTATTAAATGTAATAAGCAGTGTTGAAAGTTATCGTGTTATACAATCATCTCTGTTAAAATGCATTTTTAACCATTCATATGGCTCAATTTGAGATTTTCTTGAATTTCCTGTGGTGAAGTCTTCCAAAATTTTGAATTCTCTGTACATTGAACCTGGTGGGATACGAATTTTAAACATGAAAAAAGTAGGGTTTGTGCAGGCAGGTTTTTTTATTGTTGGAAATTTGTCTTTCACCACTACAGAAAAACTGGTCTGTTAGATTTCCCTGAAAAAAGAGCTCCAACCAAAGTAAAATATTAATTACCAGTCTGCCAAATTTGACAGAATTTTACCAAAGGAAATGTAAGAAAATTCACTGTCAGTTTTGCTCTTTGTGTTCATTTTGACGTCATAGCATGTCAAAAAATAGTGATGTGTTCCTTTGAGTGCACCCAGATTACTCAAGCTCTCGTCCTTAATTTTTGATCAATTATAAAACTATAGGTTGGGAGCCACCTCTTAAGCGTAAATTAAGGGTCACTCACACCTTAATCAATATTACCTCACATTATCAGCTGTGTCAAGTCCCTCAGATTTTCCAGGAGCATACTGAATACAGACTGAATCTTGTAGCCATTCTCCTGTAAGGGTTAGTTAATCTTTCAGACAATACAAAGGAAAACACTTAAAATATACATTTTTCAGACATATTTTGGTGGATTTTTGGCTTTTTAGGGGTGAGGTTTTGATATTTGATATATTTTTGTGGTTGAATTGGTGGAGCTCTACTTAGAACAACTTTTTGTAAGATCAAGATGGTAAATTGGCAATCTCCCATATTTTGAATTTTTAAGGTTGGCATCTCTGCATCATTGTTACACAAGTATGTGCAGTTCATGCAGACTTGTCTTGGAACTTCTCAAGTTCAGTTTTGGACATTACATTGATTTCAGAGGATGTTCTGTTTCTGTCAGTAGCACATCACTGTTTAATGGCATTAATCATCGTACACTGTGCATGGCATTTCTGTCTTTCAATATTCTCACAGACAGTGTAGACTCAGCCCTTAGTCGTCCAGGTTTGGGTAATCTCAGCTTATGCCATTGCCATAACTACAACCTAGACATACAAATTGGGTGAAGAAAATGCAAATTCATTGTAAGTTGTAAATTAAGCTCTTTAAGCTTGAAAGACAAGCTTGGTGTGGCAACATTTGCATCAATTCAATGTCTATACATATGCTAAACTAAATTAATTGTTCAGTTGATAAATTCATGCTAATGAGATCAGAGAATGCTGGCAGAAAGAAACAATTTCGTATGTTAACTAACCAATGCTTGATTTGTTAGGAGCTTGACTATGATGTCCACTTTTGGATCGGCAAGTATTCAACTCAGGATGAGTATGGCACAGCTGCATACAAGACAGTTGAACTTGATACCTTTGTGAGTATTATAAGTGAGTGTGGCAAAGATACTTTACGGACATTCGCACTAATATTATTGTTTCTGCGAATCCTTACTGCACACACAAATTCACATGCCACGTCATGCATGAGAACGCTCTACATAATAAAATGAACCATGATAGGGCAGATGGCCATTGCTATAGCTTTTCCTGGATTTAACGGTCTTGGACATTTGGTGACCCCTATTTTTCTTTTGATGGGTCATTTTCTCTACTGATATTCTATGTTTAGCGAAAAAGAAGAAAATCTATCAACTAGAAGTTTGAACTTTTTGCAAAATGCACCACCGAAATCCGTTCCTTTTAGCTCTTTGTTTATCTGTGCAACGGTTTCAAATGCCTCTTGAAGGGTTAAGTTTTGTGAAAATGTTGGTAACATTTAGAATTATTTTGGCAACAGACCCACTTCTACAAAATACAACTAAGGTCGTATGCCTCCGTTGACTTACCTTAGATATTTTAAACTATAAACCCCTGTAGACCATGCTGAATTACGTGCGCCAATTTTTCAAAATAGTTTTCCACATGCTTTATCTCTGAAATGAAGTCAGTGACCCCCAATTTTTTTTTGCATTTCTGACACAAGTAACTCATTATCTGACTGCAGTAAAAATTTTAAAAAAATCTGTTGACTGAAAAATGAGGTGGTGTCCCTCAACAATGACCCTTAGTTTCTGCTTTTATAGTATTAGTAAACAGTCAAATAAAATGTTGCTGTTTCTCCAGAAAGATGGCTCAGTCAACACTTCATGTTGCTTTAGCTGTAGGGATGCTCACAACAGGACATCATGTTGGGTTGTGTGCAGATCTTGAAAAATTTTAGAGTCTGTGTTAAGTCTACATCTGAGTCAGCAGAAATTATATACAGTTATCACACTAACTTTAACATAAGAATTAGTTATAGTCATAACAAACATTCAATCCCAGTAAAACAGTCAGTTGTCTGTTGTTTTCTCTAATTGTAATGTGTTATCATTGGCACAACTTATAACACAACATAGTAGCAAGGGTGAAAAATATGCACATGTTAAATGTAGCAAAATGCACCTTCCATGCTCTGAAGGATCGTGGGAAATGCATACTTTTGATTAAAGTGTGTTATTTTTTTGCTTATATAGTTGGATGATAAACCTGTCCAGCATCGTGAGGTAATGGATTACGAGTCTGAACGATTTAGGTCTTACTTCAAGGCTATTTCCAAGATGAAGGGAGGGTAAGTGAAATGCAGTTAGGATGATAGACCTTTTCAAAGTCCTTCGAGGTTGTAGGTAATCCTGCCACAAAGGACTTTTAGCACCTGTCAATTTTCCTCTGTGCCATTTGTCCAATAACTAGCATGAATTTTAAGTGAATCAAACCAGACACACAAACATTTAATATATTGCCACGGTCAATCGTTTTGGGTTACCTGGTCCGGGGCGAAAAGTGTGGACTAGGTAAAAACTCAAGAATTGAGACAATATTTGTCTCAATTTTTGACTGAGCCTATTGTGTGTCACAGAAGGGAATTCTCTGGGCATTTCTGGGACGGTGACTGCCAGAGAAAAGCAATATAAACTCTTTGCTTTTGTTTTAATGTTAACTGTTCAAGTTAAGGTTACAGTATACCTTCACATCGCCAATTTTCTTCAAATTTGGATTTTTGGTTCAAGGTTATGGTCGAAGAGTAATCTCTAATTTCTGAAAACAAAATGGAAAAAAACTTAATATTGGCAGAGAAATGGAGGTTTTACATTATGGCTAGAAGTAAAAGTTCCCTCTTGATTGACAGCCCTATAACGTGTACGCAATCAACCGAGACTACTTTCGCGGGAATATTACCTCTATGGATACCACGAATTGGCTGGCTACTTAGTTAATCAGCATTGTTAAACCAAGCATTTTTCGTATTAGGTGTAATTCTATTAAGTTATAAGTAAACATGGACCATGGAAAACTCTGTTTACCAGTTCAAAAAAGCGAAGAACAAATGAAAACACATCA